GGAGAATGCGGCAAATGTTTTAAACTAAGCCCTATTGCCAGTCACTTTCCCTGCACTCACCTCTTTGGGGCATATGGCAGACGTAATCGAAATCGATGGTCGAAATCTCATCAGTTTTTTTAGTGAGTTCGTATTCAACATTTGGGCGCGGAGTGGACTAAAAGTTAAACTATCCAAAATAGTATTACCCTATCCGACGTAGACGCTTGTGGAAATTTTCAAAAACATCAATTTTCTTTAGATTTCTAATTCAATTAAACTTGGTACGATAATCTCGTGCGTTCATTTCAGGTGTATTGTTTTATTTTCCCTAAAGTTCGGCGCGCCACTTGAATTTGTTTTGTCTGCTCACGTTGTTGCGCCTATGGCTCCAAATCAGTTCTTAAAACCGGAGACTGCCCATGAAAAGGCAAAAGGTGCGTTTTTAATACAAAATATTTTTCAAGCTAGTTTTAGTTTATGTTTTTTAAATCTTTTTACTCGTGTAACAGCGATGTTTTTTGGACGAAAGTAATTTTTGTTCGCCTCCATATTAAGTGTTGCGTAGAGTGAATGGAACTGCAAGGAAAAGTATTGAACCGCATTAGATTACCACAAGTTCATTTTCATTTTTTGACGTCCATTTGGGTTATTTTTAGTGCCAGCTCCAATCAGTGAAACCTGCTTGATAGAAGCTCGCAAAGTCCTAAGACGTTCGCGGATTCCTTGCGAATCCTACAAAATAATTGGGAGTTCAAACCACACAAGCTAAGCTAAAGCAGCTTAAATAGGTTTCCCTTGTCTTTAGTTTTGTACTTTCCCTAACACTCACTCCTCATAATGTAGAAACCGGGGCTATTATCGACAGTTTTATGAATGATTTGAACAATTCAACCTCATAGTTAGGTTAACCGTACTCTTTCATCCGCATTCATGTATATTAATTCAGGTAAAATGATCTAGACGTCTGCATATTGTATGAGTAACTTGTTTCACACATTCATCTACATAATTTTAAAACTACAGCTTTTCTTGCAACATAGAAGACAATTAGAATTCGTCTAGTGCTTTTTCAACCGGCTTGTCGTTTCGGGTTGACCGTATTGTGAATTATCGCCTTTAATTTACAGTTCGTCGGCGCTATACTTCCCAGTAGAGCTAACCTAGTCTACGAATTCTGAAGACTGAAAGATAACAGTTTTACTGTGTACACTTCCACTGCGCTTCCCAACCTATTGAGTTGGTTATCCTGATTTCGTCCATAGTCAGAACTCTCTTTGACTCTATCACGTAAATCAGGTCGTCTCCGTGTCATTGCGAAACAGTAATTAGCCATCGGAATCCGAGAGTATGAAGGGTTTGTTTGACAGGTCAATTTTTTGAGTTAAAGGCACTGCTTGAGCGTGCTGCCGGTGAATTGAGTATATACACCGTTCTGATATTTCAAGGTGGTTTGAATCATGGGAGTCCTTAACCTGACACCCCTATAGTATTTTCTTGATGAGGTTCTATGTGCTCATGGACTAATGTTTGGTCTGTTTTCAGTATTTTCAGATGCCTTACCAAATGTGTAGGGAGAATGGGTACGCCTCGTTAATTGTATCTCACTTCATTTTTGCCGTGTAAACTTATCAAAAGGCTTGATTAGTGACATCAGAAGCAGCTTCCTGTGACTGGGCAGATATATTTCACCCGGAAGCCTGAGGCGATAACGTTTTAGTGGCTTAATCGAGCCCCTCACGTCTTTCTGGAGGCAGGTCGTGCAGCATTTTTACAAAAACGCTCGTTGTCATCAGTAATATTCAGGTCTCTGATTTACTGTCCACGACCTGCCATAATTTCGTGTCTGTTTGTCAACATCCTCCAAATAATCTAGTCAATTTAACTGCTAAGCAGTTAGCGAAATGGCTCAACCCTGAGGAGGAGTATGTTCGGCAGTGGGAAAGCTATTCTCATTGCACACCTGCACATTCCTCACATTAATAAATCTGACCCGATTGAATTCATCACGACGCCCTAAAATTTGTGGCCTTGAAAACTGTTACCTGGCGGTACAACTCGACACTCGCGGTCAGTACTGTGTAAACATGAGGCAACTGCCTAGAGGACTGATAGTCAGCCTTAATGGATAGTTCTGGATGTGGTCTCCGTGATATCCAACCTCGTTAACCGTGCGCAAATTAGGTCGTGTTTGCCTCTTTTCTCAGCTGCTTAACTGTTCCGGCTTTTCGAATAGCGTCGGCAATATTATGGCAGACCGTAGGCAGTACGTTGAAAATCTGGACTTCACTAATGACGTGGTGAAGGCGAACTTTTTCGCAGAAATGCTATGTGACTAGCCCACTGGAAGACGTAGGAGAGGCCTTCAAACGAATTCTCACGTCAGGTATCGAGATCATAAAAGTTGTCGCCCCATTATTTCGTCTGCAATCTGCTATTTATTTCCACGAAAGAGGGGTTGCTTTGGATAGGGGTCCTGTCTTGCCTCTGGGCTTGCTCTTTGCAGAAAACTCTGAAACCTCTGTTCTTGTTTGGCAATCCGTCTTTATAGTTTGCAAATTCTAACATCTGATCTTACTTTTTAGAGCTTATTAGCGTTGGAAAAAAGTCCAATGCGTTGGAGGTGCTGTACGAAATGATGAAGTTCCGCCGGGCTCGAAACTGGCAGAAAAGCCTGGAAGAGCCTATGCTTTTGTTTGTGGAGTTGTGCATTGAACTCAAGAAGAATCAACACTTCAAACGAATAATTCATCAATATCGAAACATCTCAATTCAAGTAAAACTTCTTTTAATCATGATATTTTTAGGAATGCCCCCAATCCTTGGACGATGTGCTTAAACATTACTTCAACCTCATTAAAACAAGAACGGAAGAGGCTCGTCAAGAATCGAAAGACGCCGTACCAGACGTCGAAGATTTGGAAATCACTGAAACTCCCGAAAGGTACATATAGCTCCCAGTTGACGTTCTCTCAGTCTGATGTTGAACGCTGTAAGCGCGGAAGGCACTCAAGGTCGTTCTGACCACACGATTCTAATGCCGTGGCTGAAATTTCTCTGGGAAGCCTATCGTATTTGCTTGGATTTGGTACGCAACAACTCCAAATTCGAACACGTTTATCATCGTATCGTAAGAGATGGTAAGCCCAGTTTCACGTTTTATGCGTCCTTTTTAAGCCTTTGACTTCTGCGTAGAGTACGGACGAAAAACCGAATTCCGGAAGCTCAGCGAAATGGTGAGCATACTTGAATGCACATTATTCTGTTTTGAAAGCTGTCCTATTACAGAATTTTACATCTGGGCTTTTATCCCCAGACTCTTCGAAGTTTTCTAATATCACTAACAAACTCGTACTCCAGAATGTCTGCTGGAAGTGGGGCATCCTTCTGATTGATAGGCTGCGGAAATCCTTTATCCAGTGTAGGGTTCAAGACGAACCCAGTGTAAGCCACACAACTGAGCAGGTGACCGTCAGTTTTTGTATTCGTGCCAGAATGAATGCACGCACACAAGTGTAAATTTATAGTTAGCGCGCCCAGCCGCATCTTTGAATCCGAGCTCTCATTTCAGCAAGCCTTAACAAGGGCTGGCTGAGAACGTAAGATAGAACACGAATGTAAGTACAGTGTAAATACAGTTGAGACAACATTAACTAACTGTGATGAATGGGCGCACACCGATCTGTCAAGGAACTGATTCGTCCCGTTGTGTCTTCAGGCTCACGAAGCTCAGTTTGCCGCTTAGCTTTAGCTACCGATGTTCGCTTTTAGTAGACTTGGCGTAGTTTTTTAAAATATTTGACAATTTTTATAACAGACAGGCAGGGGAGACTCATTCTTA